ACACTGTTGGTCTACCACCAAGTAAACGTGATTGTGCATCATACTAACACAGCTGAACATTGCTTAAGCCCTGCAATACTCATCAGAGAGAGCAGGCTTGAGCTTCTTTTTCTTTGTTTTTAAATGTGTTAATTTCCAATAAATTGTTTCCACAGAAATTCCTTCTCACTATCTTGGAAAGAGTATATTCCAACCAAACAAAAAAAGTCACATAACTATCATAGCGTTTTATAACTTACATTTTACTGTACATCACTGGAGCTGCTGACTGGCAGCAGTCTAATGGTACAGAACCAAATCAGAAAGCAAACAGCTTATAGTGCAGCTTTTCACCTTGCTATGAAGTATAGCATTGCCAATGGATGTCAAAGATGGGTCCCAAGAAGTGGAGGTGAGAGAGGTAATTACATATAACTTACTCCCACCCCAAGCCTGCAGATTTCTATGGCATATGGGGCAATGGTTCTGACCTAAAGTCAGAAACAGTCCTGATGCAGAGGATGAGAACGTAGTTAAGTGTGTGTTGAAATGCAGTGAAGTACCATTATTTAAAAGATACAAATTATTGTTGTAAATAGAAAAGTGGGCAGAATGATGTTTTTGCTTATCTCTTTTTTAATCCTTAACAATTTACTCTCTTCTTTTAAGGAAGTTCTTTGTCACTTCAAATGTTAAATCAATGTCACAGGTGCATGGTTCTTTGTTTTCCCTGTAAGAGTGCATATTACTTTACAAGCAGATGCTATATTTTAATAAAAAGGTATTTTGCACTGAATTTCAATATAATTGAAATGGACATACTATTGCATGCTTTCAAGTGTAATAAAATAGATTCATTATAGTATGAGAAGGATTTTGAGTTTGAAAATATATTTTCTTCAGAATATTTAATAGAAAACAACATACCATTGCTCTATATAAATTGATAGAAACTGGATGCAATCACAGTGAGAATGTGCACCCATTAACAGAACCAGGAAAGGAAGGATTGTGATGAATATGTTTGTGATTTTCACATCTCACAGATAAATTCTATCAACGAGAAATGAAAGTCATTTATACCCTTAAAAAGAAAAAAAAAATACAGGTTTATGCAAACCGTATGGTAGGTCCTTGCATTGAAGGACTTCTCTGCCTAGCAATACCTCATAAATTGGAGTAATAAATACTCCATTTGCTTACAACTAAATCCGATACAAAAAACCACTAGAGATTAAGATGTGGCAAAAGTAAGTGAACTAGGATAGACACTGAATAAAGTGGTTTTTTATCACAAAAAAACATAGATGGAGCTTAAGGAAGGTTGAGTTCTGTTCCTGATTTGTCTGCAGAGGGTCGATGTATTCTTGATCAAATCATATAGAGACACTTCTAAGTGAAGATGTGTACTTATTTAGCTGTCTCTGTGACACATCTAAAAGGTAATGTGGGATCATGTAACTGAAGCCAATCAAACTTAGACAACCATATGTTTTTAAAGGTAGGCTTTAGTGAGGTTACAGAGAGAAGACGCAAAGCTCTCGCTTACTAGATTATTTGTAAATCACTTTAAATCACTTTATTGACAGCTACCAATTAGTTCTTGAACTACTTTAATTTTGCATAGTCTTCTGTTCTCCGAAGTAGTTTATGAAAGATACCATGTCCTCTCCAGTCATGATATAAAATCGAAACCGTGGAAGTAATTTGCAAGAGATTTTGTGGATGCCAGACATTTTCATGGATTCAGACGGCAACTAAATGCATCATAGAAGACAAATCCATCAGGAGCTATCAAGGAGAAAGATTATAGCCTCAGTTCAGAATTCCCTGCACACTGCTACAACCTGTGTTTGCATGAATATGAATTATTACATGCATCTATTCTTCCTCTGCTAGCCACTCCTAGGAAAAGGGTAGACGGAACATGGATTCAACCTAATATGCTCATTTTGATTATTTTAAGTACTGAATGACTTCCCATCACAAATTAACTGCATATATTTTTTGAATGACAGTGAGAAAGGAATCAGATTAAGTAACTAAGACAGTAACTAAGTCAGTGGTGTTCTCAGACTTGTTTCTGTTTTCACCCAAACCAGTAAAGACTGTGACTTGCTACTTCCAATTGGTATACCTTTCAAAGAAACTGTGATAAGCTAATGGTCATATCAGTCTCATCATATAGCAAACAATGCAAGAAATGGGTAAAATCTTCCATAAAAAATACGGCTATTGTAGACTGCTGATTCCTTTTTATTCTGAAAGAAGACATGAAAATTATTATTCTGATTGCTTACTCTTTTCTAGAAATAACTGTAACAGCCAACTTCAGTAGCATATTGTGTCAAATTGTAATTATCACGGGTGTGGTATAAAACCTAGGATGTGTAGACAGGGAAATAGACTTCCCATTTTAGAAAGACCCAGGTATATATAACTTGCTGCAATTTCAAATTACAAATAAATCTTGGATCCTTTAATGTTATACTAAAAATCCTCTCTCTGCACAATTTTCCCTTTTCTCAAGGTAGTTTCCCCCTTCTATTTCAACCCCCAAACTCCTATGACTCACTTAATGTTTTCACAAATATTCCACACTTACAACCAGCATAGCAAAGACTGAAGAAGTGGCTGTCCATGGCTTTATCCAATACCAAAAGTTATTTCAATGAAAATAGAGTCCAAAATTCATTCCCACACTTCACAACTAGGTCTTTCAGAGATTGCAGCTTTTGAACAAAAGTGTTATAAAACACGGAAGGAACCCCTTGAGTTTTGATATTTGAGGAAATTGTCTCATATAAGAGAAATTCTTATCTGAACCAAAGGATTGAAATTGTCCCTTACATTTCTCTGTAAGTTTATAACTGTTTATAACATTCTGTTTAAATAATGCATAGAAGTCAAATGCATAGAAAATTCACTGCAAGTTGCTGAATCCCATAGCTTGGCAGAGGAGAGTACCGGAGTCCTAGATCCACTCAACAGACTGAGCTAAGTACCTATCCTAGATAGGCATAAATTTACATATGTACACTTCCACAATACATATATACATACTTACATAACAGGCCATAAAAATTACCACAAACAGAAACATTCACACAGATATAGGTAGCACAGGCAGCTTTGCTGTTTCCATCTCTGGCAGCTCAGGATGGTCTTTTAGTGGGCAATTTATACACAGAGTATGGATTCCCCAAGCAGCTGGTTTTAGATGTGCAGCCTACACAGTAGCTGACCCCTGGATCCTCTGGTTTCCCAGTTTCCTCATGCACAAAAACACAAGATGCAAATGAGTCTGACCCCTGCACCTCACAGTCTCCCCAGTTGCTGGCTTGGATCACCTGTGTCCTCTCAGACCACACTGGTCTCTACAGTTGCTCCAATACTTGTCTCCTAACCCTCTGCTGTACTCATCAGCTAGTCCAGCTGGCCATTAGCCAGTGAGCAAATGCCAACATGTACCATTCCAGCCTCTCTAGTTGCTGCACCCAAGAAATATGGTCCCTATGATCTATGGTCCCCAGTTCTGTCTGCTGACATTTAGGTCTCCATGCACACACATGTATGACGAAAATAAGAGCCTTACTCAGAAAAATAGTTGGAAATGGAATTTGATGGGACTACAGGACAGCCTGAGGTGATCAGACATAGCACATGGCCAAACATGTTGACCAGCAGCCTGGTCCCTTTTATCTCTTTATCTCTCTGTTTTCCCATTGTTACTTTACTAGTCATCCAGATCCCTTCCTTTCCCTGCCTTTGGTTTCTCCTCTAATTGTCTCGTAACAGATTTGTAAAATACCAAAATACTCCTCCCTTCCCCCCACACTGAACTGCCTGCCTTTATAGGCAGTATCCACTCTCAGTCTGTAAGGAGGCCTGGAGACCCTCACCTGTTGACTGATGGTGATGGGTCTCAGTTACAGCCCAAGGGGCTGACACACTCCTGAGATGCCCTGGGAGGGGCTGAGTTGGAGGAACTCATCCTCCTGCTTGCTGTTGTGCCTCTGGGCTTCTTCAAGTGTGTGGAGATGACCCTTTAATCATAAAACCTGTCATAGTACAAGTCCGTCTGAAATTGCTTTTATCTGTTTGTTTTGCAGCTATGCCATGACAATACCATGTTGCAGGTCTGGTTGTGTAGGGACAAAAGCACATTTGCAAACCCTGTAGGATCATATTTCAATCAGCTACTGCTTTTTGGCTAATCTCTATTCAGAGAGGAATCCGAAGTAAAATTTGTCTGTTTACCTATTCATGGCATCTCCCTTGCACCTAAATTTTGTAAATCCTGTTCTAAATTAAGTGGAGACCTTTGCTATGTGGAATGAAGTCAGACCCTTTGAGAGTCTCAAAACAGAGATCACCTCTTCTGACCAATTAAGTTGCTTAATCTTCTTTAGGTCTAACTATTAGATGAAAGTGAAGGAAGAATGGAGAATATAGCCACCTAGGGTATGTCAACAGCAAGATTGCCTCTTCTTACATAAAAGCAGTTGTAGAGAAATGGAAACAATTTATAGCATCTTAAGGCAGCAATCTAAGCCAGGGCAGACTAGTTACAGACTGAAATGGCTGATATCTCTCCACTGATAAAGGCAATCCAGGGTGATAAACTCAGATGTAAACACTGTAGGTGTCAACATTTAATCTGATGAATCTCACCTTAAACTCATTAGTTAGCTGTGTAATAGAAGAGAACCGGATGGTGCTATAAAAAAGTTTGAAGTCACCTGACTTTCAGCACGTGTAATAGATATATATATTAACATGAGAACTGATGAACTAGAAACTTAAATTTCTGTACTAATAAAGTATCTAAATAAGGTAAAATGCATCTCTTTCAATATTTTCTGTATGACAGAAAGGACCAGTAAGCTCAACAGGTATTTAATGCAAATATGTTTGCATTACTTTTAGAACAGCATGAGCTTAAGCCAGAAAACTCCAGTCTAAAATTTTCAAGGGGGAAAAGTTTTAGTTTTTTAAAAGTTTCTATTTTTTTCTTCCAGATTTTAGAGGATTTATTAATTCGAACCTATGAAGACAAGATCAGAAAAAAAACCAAAATAAAACATCATCATGTGACAGGCAAAGAAACCATGGTTTTATTTGTTTGCTTGGTTCTCTTTGTTTTGTTTTGTTTCATTTTTCCAGGAACAATATTCCTAACCACTAGACTACTAATTCTTGTCTTGTTTCTGTCACATGACAAGTCAGAACAAGTTAGTCACATTTGCCTGATAAAGGCAAATCTTGGAGGAGCTAGGCAATATATGACTTAAGCAATGGCGAATATTTTGGCTTTCTGCTCATAAATTCATGCTCAGTGTTTCTTCAGGTGCCTCCTTGATTTGATATGGTCATTTAATTGCAGCTTACTCAAAGGCAATTTTTTTTTGTATTACATTAGCAGTGATTCATACACTACTTTGTATTTTTTCCATTTTTCTGTCCTTGGTATGCCTTACAAATTTTGTTCCGTATTACAGTTCTTGTCATAGTTCCTGTAAGACTGATTTGGCAGCTGCCAAGATGCAGTCAGAGGTGAGCTCCATGATAGGGAAGTATTTAAGCACAGGTGACAGGCTGCATGGCAGCAGCAGCGTGACATTTTATCTGGAGATACAGACAATGCGGGCAGTAGCACATTGCATTTGATACACACAGGAGACAGCTGTGGTAAGTGTGGCAGTGTACAAGTAAGTGCTTTGAAAGATTATGACAGGCAAAATCTGACTTTTATTAAGAAATGGGGAAGAAAAAACCAAACACAGATTCTATACCTTGAGATCAATTTCATCCTACATGAAATAAGTTATATGTATACTGTACATGCACTACATTAAAAAATAGTTTCCACACAGTCCCAGACTTTGAAAAGGCTTGAGCCTCCCTGTCTAATGTGCATTAAATATGACCTTGTTCCATAAGTGGTTCCACCAGTTACACTGACATGAGTAAAAGTGGCAGTGGTAGCTTCCTATTTGACAAACACAAAACCAGGTATGAATCATTCATTTTGGTTTAAGTTTCCCTTAAGAGATATTTAATTTCTGTGTTGTTCATAATTCTCAGCAGCAGAAAAACCAATAAATGGAATACTGAACTATGCCGAGACTTTTCTGGAAAGTTAGAAGTCATGTATTCAAGAATGAGTACTAATATCTCTCATTCATTCATCATTGAATTTTATTTTAAAAGACCTTAAAAGGAAGAAAATAAAGGGTAAAATGGTTCATTGCGGCCCACCACTGGTTAACCATCTTTTTACTTTTTCTGATCTTTTTACAGATCAACCCCGATGTTGTCAGTCCAGAAGAGCCAGCAGTGGAGGTGGCTTTCTGTAACGCCAACATCCCCCACAGCTGGAGTTTGGACAAAAACATTTTTGTCATTCTGGAATGCGTATGGAGAGAGAGCAAAGAGATATATGTGCTACTAGGCTTTTTTTTTTCTTCACAGTAACCTGGATTCATGACAATTATTCTAAGCACAGCTGTTACTGTCTTTCAACTGTAAAAAAAAAAATACAGTGGAAAAAAAATCCTTTTGGCATATTTTCCTCCTGTATCTCTGCTGTATGAGGTTTGTATTTGATTATATATTGGACAAGATCCTTAATAAACTTAAATCAAGATAGGTTAAATTGACATAAGTAGAAATAAGTAGAATTAAAATAAGTAGAATTATGCCACTGAAATATTTTACAATTTTTAAAATTTGGACCTTGTGACATAGCCAGAAACTTTTTTTTTTGTACCAGTAAGTAAAAAGAAATCTGACACAGGATAAGGAGATGATATTTATCTGCATAACTAGCCTTTATGCTATGTTTCTTGTTAAGAGCTTGCATTCAGGTTTCGTTATTTTCATCCCTGAAGCTAGTAGGCAGTAAGCTCCAATTCTTTGTTTTCCTGCCCAGTCACACATTCTTTCAGGAAAAGGACATCTCCAGAGCCCTCCTACCCTAGTCTGGAGCATGGTACCTCCCCTGGTCTGTGTTTTACAGGTATAGAGCAGTGACGTACAGCATAGCCAATCATGTAAAAAAAGTGATACAAAGAATTAGCCGAGGGAAGGAGCTGAGAGATGAAGAGCAATTTTGTGGGATCCCAGGAAACTACAGCCTGTAAATTCTTGCAGCCATGAATGGTAGACACATCATCAGGTCCAAAGTAAAGAAGAAAGGGGGTAATGAGACAACAGTTTTCTGTAGGATACAACCTTAGGTAATTATTTTTGCCTATCTCCTCTGGCTCTCAAAAGATATTCCACTGCATTAACTGCAGAGTTAACCCCAGCAGAGAGAGTGAATTATAGAAATATGCCTAAGGCATGGGATGTGAAAGAGGCCAGTTTCTTTAACTGCTCCAGACAACTAATAGTCTCTCCATTCTCAGGAATTCTACACTGTTAATAACGCCAGATTACTCTTTGGCAAGGAAAAGGTGTTTGTGTTTTATTGCCTCAAGATTGCTTTTTTCCTGCAATTTAATGGAATTAGGAAGAGAGAAAACATTTGCTTGCAGGATAAATGGAAAAAGGAGAGTACAAGTGAAAATGGAAAGCAAGAAAATGAGAAGAGCAAACTTTAAAACTTTAGCAGGAAAAAACCTCTGAAACCAGCACAGCTACGATAGTGAAATGAGCTAAAGAATATTAAAAAATGAGCATTCTAATTAAGAAAAAAATGTAGACAGAAGGTAAAGTCATGAGTAATTCAACCCCTAAAACTTGTAGAAGACTGTTGAGAAGCACCAAAGAAAAAAGGACAGAACCTTGGACACATTGAATTAGAAGAAATGCAAGTATCAATATACCAGGCAAAAAAAATCTTATAGTATTTCTTTTGAAGTGAAAACGTCAGTCTTTTCAACAATATTTCAAAAAGAACAGTTTAATAAATATTACTTTTCAGTCTTGTAATAATATACACAGTATTTTAAATTTCAGCAGAAACTCAGGAAAATTTTTAGTAGCAGCTTATAAACTTAGATATTTCAAAGAAGTAGAATTAATAACTTTAATCTAAAACTATGACAAGAGATGAGCATGTGCTTTTATGGGCCAATAATATTGATTTTCAATACGTCTTGGATATGAGATAAGTTCCACAGAAGTGGAAGGAAGTTAGTGTTTTCTCGATATTTTAAAATCTGTAAACAGAATGACCACATGACATATATATATATATTACAGAAAAATGTGAAAGTGATAATGTAGGATGACAGACTTCATTAGCCTTCTTTAATTCTTTTTTAATGCCAATCAGCATGGGATTACAGAGAACAGATTGTATAAGCTAGATTTTCATTATTATTATTATCATTTTAACCATAGCCTCTAATAATAGTAAATTTCCAGTGTACTTTAAATTTACAGGCTTATGGTTACTTTTAGGAGAATAGAATAAAAAAATACATCAAAAAAAGCAAAAAAACTCCCAAACTAAAACATGGCATATTACTTCGGTCAGACTCAATGTTTAAGAGAAAATTTTTTGTAATGGTGTCCTACAGGCAATCAGTTCCTATGCTACATACATTGGAATATTTTTATTAATGATTAACACTGAATAGATATTTGGAGAAAGAAAAAAAAATTATGAGACATTAAACCCAAGCAGAAGTAATCCAGCTCTTAGTATTTCTGACTATGAATTATCATCAGATAACATACATGCTACTCACATTTCTCTGTTTTGACTTCAGCTTCTTGAAAATGAAAAAAATTAATAAAATTTTGATCTCAGTGTTACGATGTATGCTAAATATTTCATAAATCATTTTAGGAATAAAAGCTCAAGCTCACCGTACAGCTGGTTCCATGTTTCTACCTCCTAGTAGATTAAAACTCCCAATACAGAATAGGTATTAAAAATATCAAGTTCATTTCACCATTACAAAAATAACTTTTCTAGTTTAATAGATTTTCATAGATTTATATCTGAGTCTGGCAAAGTAAAGAGGGATATATATAACTTAAGACATATATTATTAACTCTTGACTAATGTTTAATAATTTGCTGTTTATAATGAAAAATAGAAATTGCAATAAATAGTACTGTAACAATCTTGGAGAAGACAAAATGAAGGCCTAGGCTTTCATGGCTATTTAGTATTTTTATGGTTCATTTTATTATTATTTAAATTCTAGGCATACTTAAAATTCATATGTAAGAATGGGACAACATTACTTCAGGAATTTCAAAAATATTCAGGACACAAAAAAAATTACCTGATTTAAATGACTTAAAAATTTACATGGCTAGTCTAAGCTATTTTATGTAGCATCCTTCTTCAATGAATTTGGATTAAGCACCCTCTTCTGAGACAGGTGAGGTCTTAAAGACAGATTGCCTAATCTATGAGTACGTATTGAAGATGTCTGTGGGTAGGGAGAAGGGACATAAAAAAAGCCAGGTGACCTAGCATAGAGAAAAAAATATGACTGACAGAGAAGTATGGTCTGACCTCATCAGCAAGGTGCAAATTGCAGCCTTCATCTTCGCCACTGCACTGTTGTGCTGTATTTCAGTAATTGTTCCATTTCCAAACCATTACTTATACTAAGTAGAAGGTAGGTCTTACACTGGATATCATGAATATGATGGTGAATATCTCACAGCTTATAAAGAAAAATGCAACAATTCTTTAGACACAAGTGTATAATCTCATTTTTCTACTGAATTTAGGATCACAAGAAAGATGACACTGCTGACATATTTATTCATTTCTTAATCATTTGTAGGACAGCATCTTATGACAAGAACCCTGAGCTGATAAGGGCAATACAAATACAAAATAAAAATGTAATTCCTCAGTTCTGCTGCTTTTCACAGTCCACATATTCAGAGAAATTGATTGCTTTCCAAAGGTAGTCCTTTCCAAATAACAACCACATCCCTTTGTAATTCTGTTGAAAGCCCTCAGTCTACTTTGTCAAATTCATTTTAAATTCTCTTTCAAAGACTGGAACTTTGATGGGTTTGGTCTAAAACTTTTGACTCATTGAAAATGATCTTTTTTTAAGGCACACAGTCAGTTCTGACATATAAAAAGTCTCTTAGCTCAGATTTTTAGCTTGAA